TCCTGGCTGAATCCAGCACAGAGGTTCAGAAGAATAGGTATTGATTTTCAAAATGAAGATGTGAGTAAACCCCAAAGAACAATACTTAAAACAGCTAAAGCAGAACTTTCTGCTTGGCTCACACAAAGATCACTATGTTGCTGGCTCACGTGGAGAAGTGGTGATTCAGTTTGTGTGCCATCTCAGTTCTGGGGGAACATGTCGCTCTTAGCGTGTTATGGTAGGAATTCTCCCTTCATAACCAAGCTGATGGCTTGATAGTTCCAGTATTTGTAGGTATGACTTCCTAGGAATGTCAGTCTTTTCTGTGCTTCACATATTCTTATCAAGAAGCTGCTGACTTTCAGAACTCCTCTTCATCTGAGAGACTTTGTCAGAGTTTAACATCTTCAAAGTTCGTATTGCATCTTGCATAACAATTAAACCCATAATTTTCCATATATTTAGCTTGACCTCTATCCGGTGTATTTTTGATAGACATGCATAACCTCATCAGATGGTGGAGTGCAGTTTTGGTCAGACTTAAAGCATTCTGTTGGGCCTCACTTGTTGATTCCCCCATTTTTGGGGGCTTGTGGTTCACAAACGTTTCCTGGCTTTTCTAGGCTCTAATCTCTGTGACTCCGGATGAGGAGACATATGATGAAGAGGATGCTGCCTTCTGCTTGGAGATGCTTCTGAGGATTGTGCTAGAGAATAGGTAGGACCTTGAAATACATGCAGATTCACTGTAAATATCCTTGCTTTACTGCAGCTGCTGCCTGGGTCCAGGGAATGAGTTCCTTATGTGCTTGATTTGCCAGCTGAAGCAGCATGTGGCTGTAATTTCAGGGCTTAGCAATTCCACTCTGGCATGTGCAAACAGAGGGGCTATTCGCCCATGAATTATTGCTTGATATCCTGAGACTTGGAGGACATAAACTCAACTCTGGAGGGAGAAGTCTCCCACCTGATTGCTTTGCAAGTAATAAATAAGAAATTTGACAGCTTTGTTGTTTCTATGTGTCTGTTGTTATATATCCCAGATGGAGTTTTATACTGAAATGAAGAAATACAGGGTTGTCTGGATTTCTGGGAGAGGTGGCTGGAATCATCTTGTCTCATCTCCTTTCATCCTACCCTTTCCCTCCTCCTTGTCGTGGCTAGGGACCGTGTAACCTGTGTCTGGCAAACTGTCCGAGACCACCTCTATCACCTCTGTGTCCACGCGATGGAGTTCTGCTTCTTGGTGGAGAGGGCGGTGGTGGGGCTGCTGAGACTGGCAATTCGGCTCCTCCGTCGGGAAGAAATCAGCGCGCAGGTAAGGGGTTTTTGAACGTCCGTTACTGGGGTTTTGTGGCTACACCAGCAACACAGGAAACCAGTTGCTGTTGGATGGAGCCACATTTAGCCTGTCTGTGCTGCAGGTAACAACAGCAGTTGTAAGTAGCTCTAAATAAATGAAGGGGGACATTGCTGGAGAATGGAGTGTAAATAATAAGGACTGTTATTCTTGTCTCCTTTTCTGGCCAGGTTCTCCTCTCATTACGTATCCTGCTCATGATGAAGCCAAATGTGCTGTCCAAAGTTAGCCATGAGGTTGCCTACGGCCTCCACGAACTCCTGAAGACCAATGCTGCCAACATTCACTCTGGGGATGACTGGTACACGCTCTTCACCCTCCTGGAGTGTATTGGGTCTGGGGTGAAGCCGCCTGCAGCCCTGCAGGTTACAGCAAGGGCAGATAACGACACAGGTAAGACAGGCCAGCTTTTGCTAGGAAATCCGATGCCTGCCTGCCAGATAAGCAGCTGCTTCCTCAAGCTTTTCAATTAGCAAAGGGGACTGCAAGAAAACAAAGCTGATATTAAACTACATTAGCAAGATTAAAGACCAGCACCTGCTGTTCACTCCTACCCCATGGTCTCTACTCTGCCATCTCTTCCTACTCTGTGAGCAGCAGTCCAGGTGCTAGTCTCTGGGGGAGCAGTGGGAGGAAAACCGATATCAGTTGTAGCAGCTGTTAGAAGGTCTTTGCTCTACCCAAGGAGCATATTCTGCTGGTTGTGGTCTGGTGCCTTGGGTAATATAGCCTTAATCTCTCATCTGGGTGTGTAACGTAAACCCAGCTGTTGTTCCTGTCATACTTGCTTCTTTAGTGGGACTGACTCCTTTCTGTCCCCATTTTAAGGATTCAAATACGTGTGTGTTCAGAGTGCCTGAACCATTCCCACAAGACCAACCCACTACTTCCCCCTTCACTTGACTGTTAGAAAGATGGTGTTTTCAGCAAACTGTTCCTGTTTAGCTGTAGCCAGCTGGCAATGTATTTGAGGCTGACAGCTTCAGACTTTTAAAGAAAACAAGAAAACACTTTTCCAGAGCCTTTGTTTTCTTCTCTGCTTTTCTAGAGCTTCCTTGCTAGGTCCTGATGCTTTGTGCTAGACAGATGAGAGAAATCTTATTTTTCAAAACCACTATGGCCTTTGCCTCCTGTGCTAATTCTACGCTGTCTTCTCACATCTTATCTGGTTTTGATGTTGGGGTTTTTTTCGGTTTGGTTTAGTTTTTACTGCTTCTGTCTGCTGACTGAGCAATCTGCTTGACTGTGGCACCTTGCACATCAGAACATTGGTTCTCTTTACTTCCTTCTGAAAACATTGGGTGCACTGTGTTCACAGCAAGTCTGTCTCTCTCTCTATGCTGGTGAGTTTCTAGATAATAATGATGGCAAAAATGAATTTTTGCTTCTAAATAACATTCTATGAGTAGCTTAATTTATGCCCTTGGACAAATTTCTGTGCTTGGGACATGTGAAATTTAAGGTGATCCTAAAGGTCGGGCAAGGTAGATCTGACAGGTATGGAACATACTGATGTAGATTGCTGCTCATGAGAAAGACTTTACCAGTATTAGTGTGGAGCTGAGTGACCCCAGAGGCTCTACATGAGGCCTGTCTTTCCATGTTGTGCTTTTGGAGTTGTCTTGGCTGAACCTAGTGACCCCAGTAGTTTTTACAGTGTGTGGTACATCTGATCTTTCACCCAGGGTCAAAGCACTGGACTTCCTGCCCTTTTAAAATCCACAGTCAGGCTGACAAGTGACATAGCAGAGGATGGAAAGCCCCTTCCCTCTGAAGGGGAAACCCAAACATAGCTATGGTGGAGAAACACTGTCAAAAAGATCTGTTTCCTGCTGTCTCCTGTGCATGCTCCTGTCATAGTTGTTCTTCCTCTCACAGGAGGAGAGGCCTGGCCCAATTTCTTCCAGGGCTGGTAGTTCCTAGCTGATGCTGATCTGACTAATCTGGATTGCTTCTCCCTTATCCACAGCTATTCCTCCAAGTTCTTGATTTGGTTTTGATGTAAAACCCATGCCTCTTGTTTTGAAGGTGCTCAGTCAGACAGTGAGGTCTCTTCCTCCTATCATCCAAGTGACATGAGCCTGGACCGTGGCTACACCTCTGATTCGGAGGTGTACACAGACCACGGAAAGCCAGGCAAGATGCATCGCTCAGTGACAGATGTGGATGTCATGAACAGTGGCTGGCTAGTGGTGAGTAACCAATGGGCTTCTGGTGCCTGAAGACAACTACTGCTAGCATGGTTGTGGGCAGAGGGTCTGGTAGGGAGAGAAATTCTTATTGACAGTAGACATGACAGCTAAGATAAGCTGACAATATAAAGGGAAGATGCAGAGGAGATGCAGTTGGAGAGGAGAAAGCTTGGAGGCAAATGAGGAAGAAAATGAAATGGATCCTGCAGAAACATTACCTGTTGACTTCAGAAGAAAGGCTGCTTGTTATGCTACTCTCTCCTGTTACCTTTTTGCTGTGCCTTGCAGGTGGGGAAAGATGACATTGACACCTCCAGATCTACTGCTGGGCTCAGCAGGCTGGGGCCATCTCCCCTTGTCAACCAGTACAGCCTGACTGTGGGGCTGGATTTGGGCCCACATGACACAAAGTCTCTCATGAAGTGCGTAGAGTCCCTGTCCTTCATCGTGCGGGATGCAGCCCATGTTACGCCTGAGAACTTCGAGCTCTGTGTCAAAACCATCCGCATCTTTGTGGAGGCAAGCTTGAATGGGGGTAAGATGGCCCTTGGTTTGACGATCAGGGTTGGGCTTGGGGTGGCCAGTCTGCAAGAAGTGTATATACTGTCAGGGAATGAGTCCCCAGCCCCTAGAAAGTGGTCTGCTATGAGAAGAGTGTCCTGGCTCCAGCTGGCAGCAGGGACCTTATTCTTGTCCCTCTGGGGTGGAGGGAAGGTCTGGAGCTGATGTAGAGGTAGCAGTGTCAGCTGTTGCTGAAGGCTGTTCCTGAGGAGTGCTGGGCACCTCTTCAAGCAGGTAGTTGTCATTTCACAGGACAGGGCCCTCCACTGGGGATATCAAAAGGTGGCTGCTGTGTGTGTTGAGAGGCAGAAAATTTTGTGATGGAGTGTATATGTGGTATGTTTTCACTTTCTAGGCTACAAGTCCCAGGAGAAGAGGGGGAAGAGCCACAGGTATGACAGTAAATCCAGTCGGTTAAAAAAAAAGTCAAAGGAGAGCTCTACACGGCGATCACGGGCCTTGAGCCAGCACCAGGCACACACACAGAGTGATGAGGACGAGGATGAGAGCATCCCTGCCAGTTACCACACTGTGTCTTTACAGGTTAGTCAGGACGTAAGTATAGCAAGGATTTCCTCCTCTCCTTTCTGTGCACTTTCCCATACTCAGGGCCTTGCTAGGGAGTCACTGGGATTCTTCATGGGGCAAAGGGTGGCTCTGGTGGCAGCACACGCTTCTGCAGTGAAAGAGGAAGACTGCAATTTAGACAGGCAAAAGCAAAATAGCAGTGGAGAGACAAGTGCCCTGGAAAGCAAGGAGGGTGGGGTCTGGAGCTGTGAGTCACTATAGTAGGTTAGATGGATGTGGATCAAGGGCATTTGGAGGCATAAGGTTCATGTAGGGTTAGTGGAGACTCTGACAGGGCATCTGAGCTTGTGGAGAGGGGAAGGCCCTGTGGGCTGAAGCACTGGGGTTTCAAGCACAGAGGGCTGGCACGAGGGAGTCGTTTCTCTCTCCAGCTGGTACTTAAAGATGCAAAGGCGTGCTGCCTGCCAGGCTGTTGTGCCTCAGTTCAGAAGTGAAGTGACTAGAATGCTGTCATTTGCCCATACATAGCTGTTCTGAGGGAGCTTTGCATGTGCTTCATGCTTTTTGGTTTTTTGTTGTTCTGTTTCGGGGTGGGTTGGTTTGTTTGTTTGTTTTTAAAAAGTTGCAGAGTTGTCACCAGCCAGCATAGCTGAATCGCTGGTTTCTCCCTCTGCCTGGGAGAGTCAATGCTCTGTGCCAGGAAAGGCTCCATTCTTTCTCCTGGCAGGACTGGGATGCTGTTCCTCGAAGATGGGATTGGCATGGCTACTGAACTGACACAGATCTTGCTGAAGTTGCCTGGCACTTGACTACTTGGGGAGGGCCCAGACAGCAGAGCCTAACACCATCTCCATAGCTAAACAGAGTTATGTGCATGCAGGAAGCAGGCAGTAGCTGTGAGCCTTTTAGCATTGGTCTGGAGAAGAGACCAGGGTTGCTTCAAAAAATGTACATCCTGTGCGTGTTGCTCAGTGTGATGCTTGTCTTGCAGCTCCTGGACCTCATGCACACGTTGCACACGCGAGCGGCCACCATCTACAGCTCGTGGGCGGAGGAGCAACGCCATCTAGAGACAGCAGGGAGGAAAATCGAAGCAGATTCCCGAACGCTGTGGTCCAACTGCTGGTGTCCTTTGCTACAGGGTAAGGTCATCTCCTTGTGATGAGAGTGAGCAGAGACTCTTACAAAACAATGGCGGCACTCGGGAAAGTTGAGGAACCAAGAACTAACTGCAGAAAGCAGGCAGAGGTTGTTTTTAGGGTCTGCTGTAATTGAAAACTTGGATCAGGTCTGTAAAGGTAGCATGGATTAGGTACCAGCTTGCTTCTGGACCTGGCAGTAGATTCCCAGTCTGTGGCCTGGAACAAGTATAATCCTGTTTCTTTTTTTCTTTCTTTTTTCTTTAATTTTTCTCCCCCAAGAGAGTGACATTCATTAGACTTTTTACCCTAGATTGGGGAAGTAGGGATGTGACACCTCCACTGTGGGCTTTGCCCTGAATACTTTCCTTGCAGGTATTGCCTGGCTGTGCTGTGACGCCCGACGCCAGGTACGGATGCAGGCGCTCACTTACTTGCAGCGGGCCCTCCTGGTACATGACCTGCAGGCCCTGGATGCCCTGGAATGGGAGTCCTGCTTCAACAAGGTAACTTCCTGGCTGGGCTGGGCATGTAGACATGACAGCATTGTCATGAAGAGCAAAGCTGTGTGCAGGAGTGGCAGAATGGTGTCCTTTTTCAGCAGCCTGTTCACCACAACAGACAAGGTGTTCCTTACTCTGAACCTCTGAAAAGTTCCTCTTCGCTTAGGCTTCTGACAGAGCCTCTTGGAGTATTGAAATTAGTCCACTTCATTTCCACTTACCATTGCTTCTCCCATGCTCTCTGCCTAGAAGCCACTGGTCCCAAAAGCCAGCTCCTTCCTGTCAGGCTGTCTGTGCAAATCTTATCAATCATTTTTCAGCTCTGAAATGTCAGTGTGTCTGATCCAACAGGTGCTGTTCCCTCTGCTAACCAAACTACTTGAGAACATCAGCCCAGCTGATGTTGGTGGGATGGAAGAAACTAGGATGAGAGCCTCAACACTACTGTCCAAGGTGAGCCTGCTTCTGCTGCCAGAAAGCTCAGGGAAAACCAAACTGGATTAGCTGTTCAGCATCTCTGATCTGGGCAGGTGTCAGTTTGTTTGCTTGTCTTCAGTGCTGGGCTACTCCATCACATTCTGCTGTTGGGACATGCCCTCCTTCCAGAATTGTCCATGATCCTTGCCTTTGGAAAAGTTGTCAGGAAGGAGCTTGTGACTTTACGAAGGATGGAGAGAGAAGTATTTCACCCAGCACTAGTTAAAGACAGTCTGTTGTAGTGGTGAAACGATGCATGTCACAAGCTGATAGTACTGACCTAAGGCAGAGAGTCTGGAAGGGCTGGAAGACATGGTGATGCAGGCTGCAGTGGCCTCCTGCAAAGGAGACAAGATCCACTCCTCTGCGTACGCAGCTCAGAAGAGTGGAGGTCTCTGGTGTCCCCAGCCTGGGCCTGGGCATGCTCCTAGCCTGCCCCAAGGAGGTGGAGTTCCAGATATGCAAGCCTGGCCTGTCAAGCTGCAAACAGCAGCCCTGATGCTACTTGTTGACAGTAGTTGTGTGGTTTTGTTCTAGGTGTTCCTACAGCATCTCTCCCCGCTGCTCTCGCTGACTACCTTTGCTGCCCTGTGGCTGACAATCCTGGACTTTATGGACAAATACATGCATGCTGGCTCCAGTGACTTACTGGTAAGGTGCTGAATGAAAGTGATGCTGCCATGCTTTGGACAACCATTCATTTGGTTTAACCTTCTAAACTGGAATAGAGCCATAGAATCTTTTAGGTTGGAAAAGACCTTTAAGTTCATCAAGTCCAACCGTTGACATAACACTGCCAATACCACCACTAAACCACGTCCCCAGGCACCTCTTCCAGTGTCTCTTAAATGCCTCCAGGGATGGTGACTCAGCCACCTCCCTGGGCAGCCCATTCCAATCTCTGATAACCCTTTCTGTGAAGAAATTTTTCCAAATATCCAATCTAAACCTCACCCGGTGCAACTTTCCCCATTTTTCCCAACTCTTCCCCATTTCCTCTTGTCCTGTCCCTGCAAAGGTGGATCCAAAACATAGCCTCCTACTACTACTGTGATTAAATTACCTCCATCCCAACCAAACGCAGAACAGGTGGTTTGGTTGTTGGGGTTTTTTTAACATCTTAATCCTTCCAAAACCATTTTGTTCATTGCTGTATGTCCAGTCTCTGTGTCCTGAGGGGTGTCTCTGATTACAGCTGGAGGCCATCCCAGAGTCTCTGAAGAATATGCTGCTTGTAATGGATACGGCTGGGATATTCCACAGTGCTGACTCACGGACGGGATACTCGGATCTCTGGGAGATCACCTGGGAGCGGATTGACTGTTTCTTACCTAGGCTGCGGGATGAGCTCTTCAAACAGACCGTCATCCAAGGTACGAGGGGCTGAGAAACCTGAAGAAAACTGGTCTCGGACCCAGTGTCACACCTTGCCCAGTGTCCAGCTGCCAGAGTGTCTGGGTGCTGATGAAGGGATAGGTGCAGGAGGCTGTGTTGGCAGAAGGGGGCAAACTGAGGGTGGGCAAAAGGAGTGAGCAAACTGGTGTGTGGACTCACTGCTTGTCTTGTTTTCCTAGATCCTGTCCCCAGCATACCAATGGAGCAGCAGCATCAGAAATCAATAGTGTCTGCCCTGCCCCCTTCTCCAGCGGGGGATGTGAGACCAGCCACCCACCTGGTTCCTTTGGAGAAACCCTGTGAACTGGGTGCCAGTGGTGAGTCCCGTTTTCTTCTTTCTGGAATCATCTTCCCAGCACAGTGGTATGGATCTGCTTTTCCGTGGTTTAGTGTGATCTGCAGGCCTCTGGTGTTGTGGAACTGTTGTGCTTCCAAATGGATAGATTGTGGCCTTCTTGCTGAGGTTATTGGGGTGGGCAGAGGTTGAGGCAGAATGCCTGCGATCAGCGCCTGCTCCTCAGAGCCTCACATGAAGGTTGGGGGAAGGGGCCTGTGATTGGCGCCTGTTCCTCAGAGCCTCACATGAAGGTTGGGGGAAGGGGAAAGTCTGAAAAGGCCCCTGAGTCGATCTTCAGCCCTGCTTAGCTTTGAGCTGAAAGGTGACTTTGTCAGGGCCTATGTAAGGATGTATTTTTGTCTTTTCCTTTTTCCAGAGTCTGAGAGAGCCACTGCACCTGCCGCACCCACCGTCAGCACCTCGGCCTCTCCTCCTTTCCCAGCACCCGCTCCAGCAAAGACGAGCCCTGTCACAGACATACCTCCTACGACAACACAGCCGCCGCTCATCCTGCAGCCTCTTGCCTCTCCCCTGCAGGTTGGGGTGCCACCTATGACTCTGCCAATCATTCTCAACCCAGCCCTAATTGAAGCCACCTCTCCTGTTCCCCTCTTAGCTACCCCACGACCCACTGACCCCATGGCAACCTCTGAAGTCAATTAGATTGAGGGTGTGAGAACTGTCTGCTGAGGAAGCTCTGTGGGTGGAGGATGCTGGTCAAATGTGCTCTGGTAGTGGGCACGTTTGTTTTAGAAGATGATGCTAACCTGAGGAGATGGGCTGCTGCCATAACCCCCCTGGAGCACATCACATTCTGCTCTCTTCTTGTGGCAACCACCTAGAAATCCTGGTCGTCTTGGAGGGGTGCCCGGTTCCACCGACAAGTCTTCTTCCTGCCTTCACAATCTCAGGGGCCAGGCAAACCCCGCACCCAGCAGCCTGGGACCAAGCTGCCACCAGTTCATCTGGTGAAGAGGGAAAACTCTCTGAGATCACACCAGAGAGGGGCTGCAGTACAGGAGTGCCTCTTAGCACATTCGATCTGGTCCTTGGACAATTCTCAGCCATTCCCTAGCTTTTCTGCCCATGCTTCTGGCTGCCCTGCTTTGTTTGGGCTCTGGCCATGCCTGGGGTCAGCAGGTTGAGATTTTTGCTTACAGTGCAGCTCCCAGTTGCTACGTAGGGCTTCTTGTCTGCTCTAGCCACGTGCTTTCCTTCTGCAGCATGGATCACAGCAATCCCCACACCAGATAAGGGAGCAGGGGAGCGTGGCAGGGGCAGCACACTTTCCTGTCCACCTGCCTTGTAAATGTGACCAGGCTTTCTGGCTGGAGGGAGCAAATTCTGAAGGCTGTGCCTAGCTGAGCAGATGAGAAGGGAATGCTGAACCCCATGGCCATCCCTCAAACAGCACTTGGGGAGCCAGTCCCCAGAGTGCAGAGCAGTGCTGTGTTGTCCACCACTAGCTCTGTTGGCCACTTAGTGTCCAGCCCCATTCCTTAGAACATCCCCACACCTTCCCAGGTGAAGAGGATCTGTGACACCTGCAGACAGATGCCCAGCAAGTCTGCTGTGCTTTCTCCTGGAAGCTCTGCAGACACTGCAGCCTTCTGCATCTTCTAGTTGTTGGGAGCCCACCTCCTCCTCCTCCTAGAACGTCCCTGCAGCTGAGGCCCTGGTAGTCATTCTGTTTCTGCCTTGGCAGCAAGGGATGTGCTGCTCCTCCGTGCCCTCACGCCCAGAGCAGAGCTGGCTGCCTGGCACACGCTGCATCTCCGTTCTTCCTTCTCTCCCGGTTAGTTGGCTACGTTCTCAATAATATCCATCTTGGAAATCCCACTGGTGACCGGGAGGAGCGTGGGCAGGACTCCAACCCAGTGTGTACTGAGAGGAACCTGTGGTCGGGGTGGGAGTGCAACCAGTGTACATATAGAGTAACTGGCTACAAACGCAATGGACTTTTTACAGTGTAATAAATACATCCTGTAAATGAATGCCCCAGTGCTGCACGCCTTTTCTGTCGTGGTTCTGTAGCTCGGAGCTTTGAGAAGAGCGGAGTTTAGTTGTCAAGGTGCTGTACCTGGCTGCCAGCCCCCTGGCTCTGCCTACCAGGATCCTCCAACTGCACTCTCTCTGTGGGGAGCATGGAGCAACTTGCCCTAACAAACGGTCAGCTCGTGGGGGCCTGCCATGGAGTTCGGCTGCCAGGGGCGAAGCAGAAATGGTTCCCGTCATGGAGCAGTAGCAGCTAGATGGCTCTTGCTTCTGGCAACAGTTCAGTGTCGGCCGTAAAGTTTCTGGTGTTACGTTGGCGTGTGCTTGTGCACCGCCGGGACGCAGGGCAGGGGCTAGGGCTGCAGAGCAGGTGTCCTGTAGCATCTCGGCATGCAGCCGGAACACAGACTGAGAGGACCTGGGCTTTTCCAGGGATAACGGTTGCCATGGCTGTGGGCACCTGCACGTACTTCCCTCCTGACACTTTCTACGTTGTCTTGTGGCAGGATCCACGCAGTGCCACAGTGTCCTTAGAGCTGTGTGAGGCACCACTGCCTTCCCTACCTCAAAGATGCCAAGAGACTCCTACAGGCTTGACAAGGGGTTTAAAACCTTAGAGTTCGTTTGAATTGCATGAGCAAAGGTCTAAACGTTACGTAATGGAAGAGTAATGCCCATACTAGGAGAAGTCCCATTAATAAGTCCTCATTCCCTTACCCCATTTCCACCATTCCTGGAATATTTTCACTTCTGCAGCCTCCTCTTCCTCACCCTTCACGGCTTCCAGACTGTGTCCTTCCAGCCCTTACATGTTTTCATTCATGTATTAGAATCCCTGTGCTGCCTGTGTCCCCTGTATATCCAGCTCACCCCTGTCTTGTTTCTGAGCCTCGGCTTCTGTTTACAGCTGTTTTCCCTGAGCTGTCTCCAGAATGCTCGCTGAAGCCCTTAGGTGATTAACTCTTTGTAAACCATTGCTCGGTTGTCAAGTGCCTTGATGTCAGCACTACTGCCCTCTGATCCCCAGACAGTCCTTTGACTTCCCGGATGGAGTGGTGTCAGCTCATGGCAAAGCCCAGTTTTTCCTGCCACCTTCAGGGCGTTGTCTGGGGGACTCTCTGTTTAACTGCTTGCAAACCCAGTTTCCACTGAGAGCTTTAAGAGCTTTACGTCTTCTTCAGACCATTGTGGTGCAAAGCAAAAGCCACCCGAGGAAACTGCAGGAAGCGGGACTGGAATGGAAAGAATGTTGACTGGAAAGACAGACAGAATTGCACTTTAAACAGTTTTCACTAGACTGTAAATAGGAATGGACTGGAAAAACTGGGGAAAAAAAAAATCTTTGAATGTTGTTTGGATTTTGCAGTAATGAGGTTTCATGTGTTACAGAGGAAAACTAACAGGTAAAGTGTTTGAAGCGAAAGGAGATCAGCATCAGCTGTCGGTAGCTTGTGCTGTCACACGTATTTTTATCGTGTTTTCATCAAAAGCCTCTCAAACTCTATTTGTAACTTAAATTACAAAAAAGACAGCCCCGCCACCAGCGGCTGTTGGTCAGGAGCGGTGTCTGCAACACCAGCCTCCAGGTTTGTCCCAGCATAGACTTTGTCTGGTCTTTCCTTCTCATTTTTACGGGTCTGACTCACTGTTTTCCAGAGGAGGCTGGACAGACATCGCCCTAGGTTGGGTTTACGCACCTCTTCTGTTCCCGCTGACAGTAAGAACTTCCACTGCGGAAGCAGAATAGAAGTAGGTACTGGGCTTTAGCGTGTGTCAGGAGGACGCGTCAGGGCCCAGTTGGTGTTTTCCTCAGCGTGAAGTTTCCTAGCAGGAGAAAGCCCTAGTGACAGAGAAGCCTGTCTGTAGAACATAAGTCTGGCACTGAAACTTGCGAAACCAAAGCAATCCGGCTTCTAGATTCCGTTTTTAATTGAACCTGAGCATACTCAGAAGGCCTGGTCTGTAGGAAAGACCTCCGTGAGGTGTCCACCAACCGTGAGCTGGCTTTTTTTAGGGGTTACCCTCGCCCTGCTCCATGGCCCCGCAGCCTGGCGCGGGGTGTGTCCCGCTCGCCCGTGGCCGGGGAGCGATGC